AGTGTTTTGAAACGAGACCCTGCGACGGTCCGTCGTGCCCATGACGGTCCGTCGTGGGGTCCGTCGCTTCTGCCAGTTTTTCCAGAAATAAAGTCTGCTGCTCAAAATGACTAAACAGGTCGTTACAATATATTAGTAATTATGAAATTGGTATGTCAATTAATAAGTCCACAAAATTTTTTTACTATAAAAGCTGAATGTAATTTTTTTTTCACATCCACCATCAAGAAAATTTTATATTTTTAGATAGTATATTCCAAGTCAAGCAAGGTTTCTACTTACTAGTTTTATATTTTTAATATTTTAATGTCTGACTTTATGAATTCACTATTCTAAACTAATTAATATTATTTTTGGTAGAAAAATTAATACTTTCATCAAATATGAAGAGTTCAACAAGAAAAAAGTGATCTTCATAATGGGGGCCACAGGAACGGGAAAATCCCGTCTCTTTGTTGACATTGCCACCCATTTTCGAGGAGAAATAATCAACTCGGATAAAATGCAAGTTTACAAGGGACTTGAAATTGTTTCAAATAAGATCACACACGCTGAGAAACAAGGTGTATGACACTATTTGTTAGGTATATATGTTTATTCTCAAGAATACTTATATCAAATGACTACCTAGATAATTTTATAGTAGTAATTATAGATTCTAATGAAAAATATACTTTACTATTAAAAAATTATTTCTTTCAATTTTGAGAAAGTTAATTTGATTACATTTTCTTAGGTGAAATTGAACCAGATTCAAACTTCACAGCTGAAGATTTTTGTTTGCAAGCTGTCGTCTATATAGAAAAAATACAGAAGACTCAACGTGTTCCAATTATTGTGGGAGGGTCAAATTCGTATATTGAAAAACTTGTGGAAGATCCTTTGTTCTTGTTCAAATATAAGTATGATAGTTGCTTTATTTGGATTGATATTGAGCAATCAATCTTGAACCGTAGAGTTGACATGAGGGTTGATCAAATGGTCGAAGCAGGTAGTTTTTGTAATTATTTTATGTATCAATAAAGATATACTATCATGCAGCTAGCTAAATACTTTTCTTATATAATTTTCTACTTTTGGTTATCAAATATATGTTCTACTAAATAAAACTCTTCTTTAAATTTGTGTCGCATGCAGGGCTAGTGAATGAGGTGTGACAGATTTTCATTCCAGATGCAGATTACACCAAAGGAATCCGACGGTCCATCGGTGTCCCTGAAATGGATATATATTTAAGCGAAGAAACAAATATAGACGAAGATGATGAATCAAAGAAGATGATTCTTCAAGCTAAAATTTCAAGTATCAAGCGTAATACTCGTATGTTAATTTGCAATGTCACCACCCAAATCGAGCCGCGACTGACACCCACACTTACCCTCCTATGTGAGCGAACCAATTAATACAAAACCCAACATTTAGAATATAATAACACAATATAATGCGGAAGACTTAAACTCATTAATGAAAATCAATTAAATAACTTCTAAAAACTCGACAACTATTATTATCCCCAAAATCTGGAAGTCATCATCACAAGAACATCTATCCTCAAATTACTAAAGCTAAGAGTATCTAGAAAGCTAGAATAAATAAAAAGCTAGTCCATGTCGGAACTTCAAGGCATCGAGACATGAAGAAGAAGATCCAGTCCAAGCTAGAAGCGTTAGCTCACCCTGAAATTCGGTGTAATGAAGACTGGCTAGAGTTGCGGTTGAGTTGAAGACAATGGCACGTTTGCTGCATTCCACAAATAACAAGGAAAGAAACATACAAGTAGGGGTCAGTACAAAACACGGGTACTAAGTAGATATCATCGGCCAACTCAAAATAGAAAACAATATATATCAGATCATATCATAAATCATCTACAATACTCAATCTGTAGCAACAACATGTACAAGAATCTTTGATAAATAACGTCAAGTACACTCATGAGGACTCAAGCCTCCATATCATACTCATTTGGGAAATAGGTTCTTTTCATTCGAATTTATTAACCTAATTCCAAGATTCATTATCTTTATTCCTCTTGTGTCGGCACGTGACACTCCGCTCCCCTACTACTATGTGTCGAAACATGACACTCTGATCCCCTAATTCTACGTGTCAGTTCGTGACATCCGATTCCCTAGTTCTATGTGTCGGTTCATGACACCCGATCCCCTAGTTCTACGTGTCGGTTCATGACACCCGATCCCCTAGTTCTACGTGTCGGTTCGTGACACCCGATCCCCTAGTTCTACGTGTCGGTTCGTGACACCCGATCCCTTAGTTCTACGTGTCGGTTCGTGACACCCGATCCCCTAATTCTACGTGTTAGTTTGTGACACCCTATCCCCTAAATCTACGTGTCAGTTCGTGACACCCGATCTCCTAATTCTACGTGTCGATTCGTGACACCCGCTCCACTAATCTTATTCTGTTAATCCATCAAGCCTTCTTTTATACCAAGACATATCAATCTCATTACTTTAGTTCATCAACCCTTCTTTTATACCAAGGCATATTAATCTCATTACTTTAGTTCATCAAGCCTTCTTTTATACCAAGGCATATCAATCTCATTACTTTAGTTCATCAAGCCTTCTTTTATACCAAGGCATCATCATTAACAATGGGTTTTCAAGATTTGGGATTCAATAGCTTCATCATGCTTCTTTCATCACAATTATATAATCATATTAATGAAAGCATACAATTAAGCATATAGAAGACTTTACAATACAACCCAACACATATCATTCACTATTAAGAGTTAACTACGAATAGTATAAAAACCATAACCTACCTCCACCGAAGATTAGTGATCAAGCAAGCAAGTTCCCCACGCTTTGTTCTTCTTCTCGTTTCTCCTCTTTCTCGTTCGATCCTCTCTCTCTCTCTTTGTTCTTTTTATTTTTCTTATTCAAACCCTCTTTCTTTTACCCTAATTGAGTTATTAATATTAAACCACTAAATTTATAATTAAAGAAGGAATAGTCCAAAACGTCCCTTAAAACATTTAAAGAAATCCGACTCAGCCTGGGATTACGCAGTCTGTGACGGGCCGTCGTGCCTGCGACGGTCCGTCCTGCTGGGTCGTCGCAGAGTTCAGAGACTAAATTTCTGTGGAAGATGTGTGACGGTCCGTCGTGCCCCCGACGGTCCGTTTTGCCATTCCGTTACGAAGTTCAGAGAGTTGATTTCAGTACCCAATTTTAAAACGAGACACCCTCGATGGTCCGTCGTACCTACGACGGTCCGTCATGGGGCTCGTCGACGAAGACAGCTTTTCCCAGAATAAAATCTGCTGCTCAAAACGACTAAACAGGTCGTTACATGTAACCAACTCGACAAGATTCAACGATTAATAAGCGAGAAATGTGGTCAGTGCATCATATAATTGCTACGGACGTTTTCAAAGAAGATAAAGAAGAAGATACTGACGAAGCATGGACGAATACTGTTTTGCAACCATGCCTTGATATTGTGAAGAGATTTCTCAAAAGCGATCATCACAATATTATTATTGAGTGTACATAAACTTTCATTATCGCCATCTTCTGTTTTGGTCTATTTTATGTTTGACCTATTTTTTACAGTTTCTACTTACTAGTTTTATATTTACAAGATTTTAATGTCCGACTATATGAATTCACTACTCGAAACTAATTAATATTTTTTTGGTAGAAAAATGAATACTTTCATCAACAATGAAGAGTTCAACAAGAAAAAAGTGATCTTCATAATGGGGGCCACAGGAACGGGAAAATCCCATCTCTCTGTTGACATTGCCACCCATTTTCGAGGAGAAATAATAAACTCGGATAAAATTCAAGTTTACAAGGGACTTGAAATTGTTACAAACAAGATCACACACGCTGAGAAACAAGGTGTACGACACTATTTGTTAGGTATATATGTTTATTCTCAAGAATACTTATATCAAATGACTACCTAGATAATTTTATAGTAGTAATTATAGATTCTAGTGAAAAATATACTTTACTATTAAAAAATTATTTCTTTCAATTTTGAGAAAGTTAATTTGATTACATTTTCTTAGGTGAAATTGAACCAGATTCAGACTTCACAGCTGAAGATTTTTGTTTGCAAGCTGTCGTCTATATAGAAAAAATACAGAAGACTGAACGTGTTCCAATTATTATTGGAGGGTCAAATTCATATATTGAAAAACTTGTGGAAGATCCTGTGTTCATGTTCAAATATAAGTATGATAGTTGCTTTATTTGGATTGATGTTGAGCAATCAGTCTTGAACCGTAAAGTTGACATGAGGGTTGATCAAATGGTCAAAGCAGGTAGTTTTTGTAATTATTTTATGTATCAATAATGATATACAATCATGCAGCTAGCTAAAAACTTTTCTTATATAATTTTTTACTTTTGGTTATCAAATATATGTTCTACTATATAAAACTCTTCTTTAAATTTGTGTCGCATGCAGGGCTAGTGGATGAGGTACGACAGATTTTCATTCCAGATGCATATTACACCAAAGGAATCCGACGGTCCATAAGTGTCCCTGAAATGGACAAATATTTTAGGGAACAAACAAATATAGACGGAGATGATGATTCAAAGAATATGATTCTTCAAGCTTCAATTTCAAGTATCAAGCGTAATACTCGTATGTTAATTTGTAATCAACTTGATAAGATTCAACGATTAATAAGCGAGAAAATGTGGTCAGTGCATCATATAATTGCTACGGACGTTTTCAAAGAAGATAAAGAAGAAGATACTGACGAAGCATGGACGAATACTGTTTTGCAACCATGCCTTGATATTGTGAAGAGATTTCTCAAAAGCGATCATCACAATATTATTATTGAGTGTACATAAACTTTCATTATCGCCATCTTCTGTTTTGGTATCTTTTATTTTGGACCTATTTTTTACAGTTTCTACTTACTAGTTTTATATTTACAAGATTTTAATGTCCGACTTTATGAATTAACTATTCGAAACTAATTAATATTTTTTTTTGGTAGAAAAATGAATACTTTTATCAACAATGAAGAGTTCAACAAGAAAAAAGTGATCTTCATAATGGGGGCCACAGGAACGGGAAAATCCCGTCTCTCTGTTGACATTGCCACCCATTTTCGAGGAGAAATAATCAACTCGGATAAAATGCAAGTTTACAAGGAACTTGAAATTGTTACAAACAAGATCACACACGCTGAGAAACAAGGTGTACGACACTATTTGTTAGGTATATATGTTTATTCTCAAGAATACTTATATCAAATGACTACCTAGATAATTTTATAGTAGTAATTATAGATTCTAGTGAAAAATATACTTTACTATTAAAAAATTATTTCTTTCAATTTTGAGAAAGTTAATTTGATTACATTTTCTTAGGTGAAATTGAACCAGATTCAGACTTCACAGCTGAAGATTTTTGTTTGTAAGCTGTCGTCTATATAGAAAAAATACAGAAGACTCAACGTTTTCCAATTATTATTGGAGGGTCAAATTCGTATATTGAAAAACTTGTGGAAGATCCTGTGTTCATGTTCAAATATAAGTATGATTGTTGCTTTATTTGGATTGATGTTGAGCAATCGGTCTTGAACCGTAGAGTTGACATGAGGGTTGATCAAATGGTCAAAGCAGGTAGTTTTTGTAATTATTTTATGTATCAATAATGATTTACAATCATGCAGCTAGCTAAAAACTTTTCATATATAATTTTCTACTTTTGGTTATCAAATATATGTTCTACTAAATAAAACTCTTCTTTAAATTTGTGTCGCATGCAGGACTAGTAGATGAGGTACGACAGATTTTCATTCTAGATGCAGATTACACCAAAGGAATCCGACGGTCCATAGGTGTCCCTAAAAGGGACAAATATTTAAGGGAAGAAACAAATATAGACGGAGATGATGAATCAAAGAATATGATTCTTCAAGCTTCAATTTCAAGTATCAAGCGTAATACTCGTATGTTAATTTGTAATCAACTTGACAAGATTCAACGTTTAATAAGCGAGAAAATATGGTCAGTGCATCATATAATTGCTACGGACGTTTTCAAAGAAGATAAAGAAGAAGATACTGACGAAGCATGGACGAATACTGTTTTGCAACCATGCCTTGATATTGTGTAGAGATTTCTCAAAAGCGATCATCACAATATTATTATTGAGTGTACATAAACTTTCATTATCGCCATCTTCTGTTTTGGTATCTTTTATTTTAGACCTATTTTTTACAGTTTGTATCCCATTACAAATATATATGTTTGATATGACCATTATTTCTATATATATTACTCTTGTCTTTAATAAAATTTTTATGTATAGATGAAATATTTATTTTAAGTTTCGATGCAAGCCCAAACCCAATGTCCAAGTCCAAGTCATCTATGTTTAATATATATTAATACAGATACGAACGTACAGAATTACATGAGATCACTCATAATGTCAAGCTAATAGAGCGATAAAATAATAAATCACCATACATGTTCGGGAAGATTCCATCCTAAAAGGATTTTGAAGAATTGAATTCTTTACTCAATACTTAAAAATATTACATAGACAAAGAAGATAAAATAGTAAATTTGTAATCTATCGGTAATGATTATATTCTACCTAATTCTATCACGGTGATTAAAGCTTGATTCAATAAAGTCCTTATCTATTATTGTATGGTGCACATGTTAAGATGAATACTCGTAATTGAAATAGTTATCGATAATTGTTCACTTCCCTCGTATGGAATTAGACTTAACACTTATGATGTGTTGTTGAATAGTGTAATATTTGATGCCTTATCACTTAAATGTATTCCGTCAGAAATTTTATTGAGTTCTTTGTACAATCCTTTTGTAACTACTTGTGATCTCATAACAATATACATCTAGAAACGTCATCCTAAAATTATTTTAGCTTAATCGCCAAAATTTAAGGTGAAATACACTAATTTTTTTAATGAACTATTCTTATTCTTAAAGATATGAATTTATATATATTTAATTTTGTTTACTAATTAAGAAGTCTATAAAAAATAACATTTTTACTAAAAAAGTCCAGCTCTATGTGATCTCCTAACAATGTACACTAATAAATTTATCCTAAAATATATTTAATAATAATTACCAAAATTCAAGTTGACATATCTATAAACTTTTACAAGTCATTCTTATCCTAAAATATATCAGTAATTATGAAATTGGTATGTCAATTAATAAGTCCACAAATTTTTTTTACTATAAAAGCTGAATGTAATTTTTTTTCACATCCACCATCAAGAAAATTTTATATTTTTAGATAGTATATTCCAAGTCAAGCAAGGTTTCTACTTACTAGTTTTATATTTACAAGATTTTAATGTCTGACTTTATGAATTCACTATTCTAAACTAATTAATATTTTTTTTGGTAGAAAAATGAATACTTTCATCAACAATGAAGAGTTCAACAAGAAAAAGGTGATCTTCATAATGGGGGCCACAAGAACGGGAAAATCCCGTCTCTCTGTTGACATTGCCACCCATTTTCGAGGAGAAATAATAAACTCGGATAATATGCAAGTTTACAAGGGACTTGAAATTGTTACAAACAAGATCACACACGCTGAGAAACAAGGTGTACGACACTATTTGTTAGGTATATATGTTTATTCTAAATAATACTTATATCAAATGACTACCTAGATAATTTTATAGTAGTAATTATAGATTTTAGTGAAAAATATACTTTACTGTTAAAAAATTATTTCTTTCAATTTTGAGAAAGTTAATTTGATTACATTTTTGCAAGCTGTCGTCTATATAGAAAAAATACAGAAGACTCAATGTGTTCCAATTATTGTTGGAGGGGTCAAATTCGTATATTGAAAAATTTGTGGAAGATCCTGTGTTCATGTTCAAATATAAGTATGATAGTTGCTTTATTTGGATTGATGTTGAGAAATCAATCTTGAACCGTAGAGTTGACATGAGGGTTGATCAAATGGTCAAAGCAGGTAGTTTTTGTAATTATTTTGTGTATCAATAAAGATATACTATTATGCAGCTAGCTAAAAACTTTTCTTATATAATTTTCTACTTTTTGTTATCAAATATATGTTCTACTAAATAAAACTCTTCTTTAAATTTGTGTCGCATGCAGGGCTAGTGGATGAGGTGCGACAGATTTTCATTCTAGATGCAGATTACACCAAAGGAATCCGACGGTCCATAGGTGTCCCTAAAAGGGACAAATATTTAAGGGAAGAAACAAATATAGACGGAGATGATAAATCAAAGAAGATGATTCTTCAAGCTTCAATTTCAAGTATCAAGCGTAACACTCGTATGTTAATTTGTAATCAATTTATAAAGATTCAACAATTAATAAGCGAGAAAATGTGGTCAGTGCATCATATAATTGCTACGGACGTTTTCGAAGAAGATAAAGAAGAAGATATTGATGAAGCATGGACGAATACTCTTTTGCAACCATGCCTTGATATTGTGAAGAGATTTCTCAAAAGCGATCATCGTAATATTATTATTGAGGGTACATAAACTTTCATTATCGCCATCTTCTGTTTTGCTATCATTTATTTTGGACCTATTTTTTACAGTTTGCATTGCATAACAAATATATTTGTTTGATATTACCATTATTTATATATATATATTACTCTTGTATTTAATAAAATTCTTATGTATAGATGAAATATTTATTTTAAGTTTCGATCCAATCCCAAGCCCAAGGTCCAAGTCCAAGTCATCTATATTTAATATATATTAATACAAATATGTACGTACATAGTTACATGAGATCGCTCATAATGTCAAGCTAATAGAGCGATAACATATTAAATCACCATACATGTTCGGGAAGATTCCATCCTAAAAGGATTTTGAAGAATTGAATTCTTTACTCAATACTTAAAAATGTTACATAGACAAAAAAAGATAAAATAGTAAATATGTAATCTATCGGTAATGAATATATTCTACCTAATTCTATCACAGTGATTCAAGCTTGATTCAATAAAGTCCTTATCTATTATTGTATGGCGCACATGTTAAGATGAATACTCGTAATTGAAATAGTTATCGATAATTGTTCACTTCCCTATTATGGAATTATACTTAACGCTTATGATGTGTTGTTGAATAGTGTAATATTTGACGCATTATCACTTAAATATATTCCGTCAGAAATCTTATTGAGTTCTTTGTACAATCCTTTTGAAACTACTTGTGATCTCATAACAATATACATCTAGAAACGTCATCCTAAAATAATTTTACCTTAATCGCCAAAATTTAAGGTGAAATACTCTAAATTCTTTAATGAACTATTCTTATTCTTAAAGATATGAATTTATATATATTTAATTTTGTTTACTAATTAAGAAGTCTATAAAAAAATAACATTTTAACTATAAAAGTCCAGCTCTATGTGATCTCCTAACAACTTACACTAATAAATTTATCCTAAAATATATTTAATAATAATTACCAAAATTCAAGTTGACATATCTATAAACTTTTAAAAGTCATTCTTATCCTAAAATATATCAGTAATTATGAAATTGGTATGTCAATTAATAAGTCCACAAAATTTTTTTACTATAAAAGCTGAATGTTAATTTTTTTTCACATCCACCATCAAGAAAATTTTATATTTTTAGGTAGTATATTCCAAGTCAAGCAAGGTTTCTACTTACTAGTTTTATATTTACAAGATTTTAATGTCTGACTTTATGAATTCACCATTCTAAACTAATTAATATTATTTTTTTTGGTAGAAAAATGAATACTTTCATCAACAATAAAGAGTTCAACAATAAAAAAGTGATCTTCACAATGGGGGCCACAGGAACGGAAAAATCCCGTCTCTCTGTTGACATTACCACCCATTTTCGAGGAGAAATAATCAACTCGGATAAAATGCAAGTTTACAAGGGACTTGAAATTGTTACAAACAAGATCACACACGCTGAGAAACAAGGTGTATAACACTATTTGTTAGGTATATATGTTTATTCTCGATAATAGTTATATCAAATGACTACCTAGATAATTTTATAGTAGTAGTTATAGATTCTAGTGAAAAATATACTTTACTATTAAAAAATTATTTCTTTCAATTTTGAGAAAGTTAATTTGATTACATTTTCTTAGGTGAAATTGAACCACATTCAGAATTCACAGCTGAAGTTTTTTGTTTGCAAGCTGTCGTCTATATAGAAAAAATACAGAAGACTCAACGTGTTCCATTTATTGTTGGAGGGTCAAATTCGTATATTGAAAAACTTGTGAAAGATCCTGTGTTCATGTTCAAATATAAGTATGATAGTTGCTTTATTTGGATTGATGTTGAGCAATCAGTCTTGAACCGTAGAGTTGACATGAGGGTTGATCAAATGGTCAAAGTAGGTAGTTTTTGTAATTATTTTATGTATCAATAAAGATATACTATCATCCAGCTAGCTAAAAACTTTTCTTATATAATTTTCTACTTTTGGTTATCAAATATATGTTCTACTAAATAAAACTCTTCTTTAAATTTGTGTCGCATGCAGGGCTAGTGGATGAGGTGCGACAGATTTTCATTCCAGATGCAGATTACACCAAAGGAATCCGACGGTCCATCGGTGTCCCTGAAATGGACAAATATTTAAGGGAAGAAACAAATATAGACGGAGATGATAAATCAAAGAAGATGATTCTTCAAGCTTTAATTTCAAGTATCAAGCGTAATTCTCGTATGTTAATTTGTAACCAACTTGACAAGATTCAATGATTAATAAGCGAGAAAATGTGGTCAGCGCATCATATAATTGCTACGGACCTTTTCAAAGAAGATAAAGAAGAAGATACTGACGAAGCATGGACGAATACTGTTTTGCAACCATGCCTTGATATTGTGAAGAGATTTCTCAAAAGCGATCATCACAATATTATTATTGAGTGTACATAAACTTTCATTATCGCCATCTTCTGTTTTGGTCTCTTTTATTTTGGACCTATTTTTTACAGTTTGTATCGCATTACAAATATATATGTTTGATATGACCATTCTTTCTATATGTGTTACTCTTGTCTTTAATAAAATTTTTATGTATAGATGAAATATTTATTTTAAGTTTCGATCCAAGCTCAA